CCTCTCACAGGCATCCACATCAGGGTGGCCACAGCTCTAAGGACCATTGCCCTCAGTTGGGTCTGCCCTGGGCCAGCCTGCAACTGCCCTACAAATGGGAAAATTATAGATGAGCCAGGGGACTGGAACAGCAGGTCAAGGAGATAGGGTTCTGAATGAAATATTCCTTTCCAAGGGCCAAGACTTTTCCATGATTCAAGTTATCTCCACCTGAGCTCTTTTGCAACCTAGAATGAGGGGGATCAGAGTGTTCCCAACCCCACAGATTATTGTCCTTGGCAGGAGCCATGGGATTGGAGCCTCCTCAGCAATGGCAAACTCAAGGGCATTAGACTTTTAGCTGTATTTGGGGGACACTGGGCCAGGGCTCACCTGTCCCAGATGGGCAGTAATTATAAACCTGACAATAAATAAATGCTTTATCCTGAAGGAGCTTAACTCTGAGCTTTGAAATTTAATTCTTTGTGCCTCTGCCGCAGATCTGCTCTCCCCTCTCTGGAAATGAAGGCTGTAGATTTTCCGCAAAGCTGGATTCCAGGTGTTTTCAATTCATTATTTAATTAATTAGTCTGCGAAGTATATAGTTAGGCATGCCCATCATTTAGGAAAATTAGCACACAAGAACCAAAGACCTATACTTTGGGATAGAAATTCACATTACAAATGGGGCTTCTTCAAAGTGAGAGCCCTAAGTATACTCAGGGTATTATTTGAATTGTAAAATATCTTTGCTTAACCACAACTCTTTTGGAATACACATAGAGCACACAATGAAAGCCAGTTCAAAGCCTGAGTCACAGGTCCTTTCTATAAGACAATCCAGGGAAATGGTTCCCAGACCTCAGTGTGCATCAGAGTCACCTAGAGAGCTCATGAACATGCAGATTCCTGGGCCCTACTCCAGAGCTGCCTTATCATTATCTCTGGGGGTGGAGCCCAGTAATCTCTCTACTTAAGCAACTCTCCAGGTGACTGGATGCAGGCAGTCCAAGAGCCACACCTGTGCTAGGTCTTAAAGCCGCAGTACTCCTGTGCCTGGAACAAAGCTGCCGCACAGCTCCCGGCCCATTGCTCAGTGTGAGGCCATCCATGTGAAAGCCCCCTTTCACTCAAGAGCTGGACCCCAGGCTCCTTTGACACCAGCCACAAATGCCACACACCAGTAACCCCAGATAGCTAAGGTACAAGCCCCTCCTAATCAAAACCTCAGGCTTGAAATGCATGCACAGTTATACAGATGGCAAAGCAGAAGGCCACAGGGGAGACGGGACTCGCCCAGCAGCAGTGGGCAAGCCAGAGAGCCATGTGGGGCAGAAGAGCTGCTTTTCTGGTCCCTCTGCCAGCCCTGCACGGCCTCCAGATTTCTGCTACATGGCTCTTCCTCTAAGGATGAACTTGAGAATGAACCAGGTGTTCCTGTTATTATCTGTCTGCGAACATTGTCTTTCTCCTTCACACCAGTCATGGTTGGTAGCTATGTAGTATTTTTTGACATTTGTCTTTCCAACTAGATGATGGACTTATTGAGACAGGGGCCTGTTTTGTACACCAGAGTGTCTAACACCTAACACGGTGCCCAGCACATAGTAGAAAGTCAATAAATATGGACAGACAGAAGTTGCAATGATCTCTTCTACATAATAGGAAATAGAAATATTGGAAAAAAGAGAGAGAGAGAGAGAGAGAGAGAGAGAGAGAGGTTTGCCAAGGCTAGAAACAAGTCTATGCCATGAAGTCCTGGGAGGCAGAGGGAACTCGCTCTCCCTCGGGCCTCAGTGTCCAGGATTGGACTAAACAGGCTCTCCCTAGCCTTCCAACTCATAACGGTCTATAGACGTTAGAGCATGGATTGAATAGAAAATGACTGAACATTAGACTTCCATCTCTCTACAGGGGGTTGGGGTCCTAGAGGCCACCCGGCTTTATGGTTTCACAGCTCCCTCTAGTGGCCAGGGCCATGTTTTACTATAATTTTGTGATGGTCTTTGGTTATCAAATTGAGCTGCAATCAGTTATTTAGCTGAGTTAATAACTGAGTGTTATTAAACTAAGCTTAAGTTAGTTTAGAGGTCTGGCTTGAGTATAACTAGTAACTTACATACATGTGGAGATATTAAATCCATTGAGATCGTCGTTTATTAATCCAGCAACTCATGGCCCAGCGCCTAATCTATACCTGGGACAGTGCCGGGTGAAAGGCTATACCAATGAGCATGTCAGAGATCTCCACTGCCCGTGGTGCTTATATCCTAGGGAGGGAATGGGACATTCAGCAATTATGCAGAAGTGAGGTGTACACCACTGCGATGAGAGTCAGGAAGGAAATACGCAGAGCATTCACGTAGAACACAAGTGGTGGTCCCCTTCAGGAAGGCTTCTCTGAAGAAACAACGTTTCCGCTTGGGTTTGAAACACGAGGAATAATTATCAAGGCAAAAGTGGGGAGGGGGATGGGAAGGAAGGAAAAGGCAAAGAACTCTAGGCAAGAAAGAGCCCTGTGAGCTTGAGGTAGTGAAAGTGGGCCAGGGTTGCCTGCGTAATGAGCAGAAGACAAGGCTGAAGAGGTAGGTGGTGTTATTATTCCCATCGGTTTCTCGCTACTGTGGAAACTGAGGCCCGGAGATGTGGCACGAGCTGGTCATAGTGATGCAGCTTCTGGGTAGTGATAGAGAAAAGGGGACCTGGGGCAACCAGAGCGGATACTGCAGGATGGAAAGAGCTGGGCCAGGGAGACAGAGGCACGGGGTGGTATGTGGGAGGGAGGGAGGGAGGGAGAGAGGGAGGGAGGAACACAGTTCCCAGAGTCTGACGAGCGTTCAGACTGCAGCACTGGGAGGGACTCGGCGGTCATCTAGGCCTCCTTGTCCATTTGCCAGGGGAGAAAGCAGTGAACAGCAAATCTTCACCCACATCCCCAGTACACAGGCCTGCAGCAGCTAGGCCCGCATCACTGCTCCCCAGAGACACTCCCACCAGGCTCCCGCAGCCTCATGCAAAGCCTCCGTTCCCTTGAGTACCTCCACCTCTCATCCAAACTGCCCTCTCTCAGCCCATGGGCTCTTCAGTCCCAGGCTCTGTTGCCATCACCCCAGGGAGCAGTCCTCAGGAATGAGCCGTGCATGACGCGACCCTGCCCTCCCTGCCGCCACCCCCACCCCGCTGCTGCCACTCTGAACTCCTGCCATGTCTCTCCCTTTGAGGTCTGCCCACTGACTGTTCTCCTCCCTCATACCACGTTTCCCCATCTCCTAGCCCGGCTTATCCTCCAGATCTTGGCTTAGACATCCCTTCTTCCAGAAGCCAGCACCACTCTCCCTGGAGCTCCTCTTCTGAATCCCCTTGGAGCACCGATCACATGGCATATTGGTTTCCTATTTCCTTGTCCACCTCCCCAGCTAGACTTGAACACCCCCAGGTCAAGGACTACATCTGTCCCATTTTCTCCTATATCCCCAGCAGCTAACACGGTGCCTGGCACTTAGAAAGTGCCCAGATCGCTTGCTTACTCTCCTTCCTTCCTTCCTTCCTTCCTTCCTTCCTTCCTTTTCCTTCCTTCCTTCCTTCCTTCCTTCTTTCTTTCCTTCTTTCCTTCTTTCCTTCTTTCTTTCCTTCTTTCCTTCTTTCTTTCTTTCTTTCGTTTTTTTGAGGCAGAGTCTTGCTCTGTCACCCAGGCTGGAGTGCAATGGCTCGATCTCCTCTCACTGCAAGCTTCCCCCCAGAATAACCCCATTCTCCTGCCTCAGCCTCCCGAGTAGCTGGGACTACAGGCGCCTGCCACCACGCCCAGTGAATTTTTTTGTATTTTTAGTAGAGATGGGGTTTCACCGTTTTAGTCAGGATGGTCTCGATCTCCTGACCCCGTGATCCGCCTGCCTCGGCCTCCTAAAGTGCTGGGATTACAGGCGTGAGCCACTGCGCCTGCCCAGATCTATTTCTTAAATAAATGAATGAATTAAAATAAATGACTCTAAGCTGAGCCACCTGCTTTTTACCACCACGCATTGTGTTTCTCATCTCCATCTGCCCATCAACCTCTGCCTTCATTATGTCTAACAAGGGCCCACTACTGCTGTAAGATAAAGAAAGCAGTCTGCCTCAGCCCAGACACTGACTGGTCAGTCTTACTGATGGCAGCTGCTGGTGTCCCCTACCCTCCCAGGAGAAAGTGCAGTCAGAAGCAAGAAGGAGTTGTCTACATCTCAGACTTATTAGACAGTCTCTCCCCCAAATGTGTTTTCCTGGTGACTAGGAATGCATTTGAAAGTTGGATTTTATTTTTTTACCAATTTCTACAGCTTTCTGAGGCTTGATTTCCTCTGGGTGAGCCTCCAAATCATTAGAGACCCCATGGTTAAAATCCCCATATGAGATATCTTGTGTAGGGTGACCCCAATATGAATAAGCTTATTCTTCAGCTTGCATGCAAATGAGATCCTGGTGGTTCTGTTCAGTCAATGGCATCTATGTATTGAAGACATACTATGTGCCGGTCTGCGTCAAATGATTCTGATCTGTGGAGAAGAGTCAGCTTTATCCCTGCCTTTCACAGAACTGGCATTCTAGCAGGAATTGTAGAATTAAGCAACTTATTACAATTATTCAATGACATGCAATGAGATGCAAGCTGAGGAGGTTCCCTGAGGCCCCTGAAGCTCCCTAGAGTGATGGTAACAGAGCCTGGGACTGAAGCACCCATGGGCTGAGAGAGGACAGTTTGGATGAGAGGTGGAGGTGCTAGGTGCCAAGATAGCTCAGCCTGAGTGTCCTGGCCTCGGTCAAAGTGGCTGCCCTAAAGCTGTGACCTTTGGGCTGAGAGCTAAAGGATGTGTAGGTGTTCACCAGGCTAAGGAACATGCAATGTGTGTGTGCACATGAGTGTGTGTGCACATGCATGTGTGTGCACGGGCATGTGTGTGCGTGTATGTGTGTGCATATGCATGTAAGCATGTGTATGCTACAAATGTATTGTGTGTGATGCATGTGTCCATGCATGTGTGTGCATATGTAAGAGCATATGTATGTCACAAGTATGTTGTGTGTGCATGTGTATGTTACAAGTGCATGGGTGTGCAGGTTGCAGATGCATGTATGAAACCATAGATGCCATGAGTATATTGTCCATGCATGTGTGTGTCCATGTGAGAGTATATGCAGGTGCATGTGAGCATGTGTGTACAAGTATATTGTATGTACATGTGTGTGCACGTGTGTGTGAGTGTACATATGCCACAAGTACATGTGCGTGCAGGTTTCAGGAGCATGTATGTGTTTGTGTGTCCCAAGTGCCTGTGTATATAGATGCTCTTCAGCCTTCACATCTCCTTCCTATCACAAATCAGTCATTGTGAAGTGGATTTCAAGTCTTCTCCATATGGTGCAGTGTTTCCAAGCCTCTTTTGGATCATGAATCATTTCAATAAACAACAACATAACAACAACAGCTATTCCATGTTAACTGCATGAGAGTCATTGTGCCAGACATTTAATGTGTGTTCTCTCATTTACTTCTCCAGCAAACCCAAGAGGCAGGCCTATGGTTATTGTTCCATTCTACAGAAGAAGAAACAGAGGCTCAGGAAGAGGAAGGCTCTTTCCCACGGTGGCCCTGAGCACAGGTCTGTATGACTCAAAGTATATGCTCTAATCCACTAAACTCTTTCCTGCCACCAGAGCAAGTGACACAGCAGATTGACCTTATGGCAGGTCCCTCTCCCACTGTTAACGACAACACTCTCCTTGCAGTGAATGGAAAGTCTTCAGTGAAGTTCTGTTCCAGCTCAACCACTGATTCACTGTATGACATTGGAAAAGTCCCCCACTCTTTGTTGCCCTGGAGCTTGCTGAGCTCTATCACTCCACATGAAGAGCTTAGCACCACCATCTACAGACGGCAGGCAGGTTACACAATCTCATGAAATCCCTGTTTCCTCATCGCTAAAATGGAGCTAACAATGGTACCCTCCTGATAGTACTGCGGAGGGGTTGACGGAGCTCATGTGCGAAGAACGCTCAGTCCTGTGACTGCCTCACGATGTGTGCCCAATAAACCACAGCCGTCGCTGATGCTGAGGACACAGGAGAGCCAGAGAGCTGAGAGCACCAGCCTGGGAATCAAGTGGACCTGGATTCAAATGATTCAAACGCTCACTTTGCCTTCTAATCGTCACGTGACTTGGCAAAAGTTATTTAGCTGCCAAATTTTCCTCGCTTGTAAAATGGGAATTAAAACAGCACCTACTTCATAGGTATGTCTGAGGAATACATGAGATAATACACATAGCATTGCCCTATGAATGTTAGTTAACATCATTACTATTTGCACATATTGAGTAATATTATAAATAAGGATTATGTGGGGTCTAATTTTGTTCTAGTTCAAGGTTTTAGAAAAAAATAAATAGAGGTATCTGGTTTGGTCAGATTTACTAGACATTGTACTGTTTGTAAAAATTTTTTGAAAGAAAAAAAAAACGGACCTGTCTCATGAGTCAATAGAAAGTCAGTTTCCTTTTGGTTGAGGCCAGCAGTTCTGTGCAGTTTATTCTGGTGCTGGCTGGCGGTTTGGTTAGGTTCAAGGCCATGACCATGAGTAAGTGATTCACTCTTGCCAAAAACTGTAATCATGGTCATATTCTAAATATTTATACTAAAAGAAACCAAACCTGCTCCACCTTCAGGGGTCACAGGCACCACTCCCTCACATACTGGAGTTCATTCATTCATCCTACTCAGGGTTATTAACCATTCACCTCGTGCCAGGCACCAGGCACTGGTCATGCTGGTGGCTAATGGGACAGAAACCTGCTAGCAGCTTTGGCCAGTTTTGGAGAAACAACCAAATCAGGGCCCTCAATGATGGTAGCTGCACCTGGGCTGTGTAGGCTCCTACAGAGAATGCAGGCCATCTGTTTGGTGCATATCACAATGTGGTCTGTTCCAGCTGGGAAAGGCACTTGGGGATCATCTCAGGCAACACACACCCTTTACAGCCACTGAGATCTCACAGCTGGGCTAAGATCCTGCTATTCTGACTCCTAGATCAGCACCTCTCCCTTCCTCCTAGATGCCCCAAGGTTTCCTCCACTTCACACAGAGCAGGTGGTCTCCAGACATTTTAGCTCACAAACAACTTCTAACATAGTGATAATGAGAATTTAAAAAGTAATATCACTCCTAACAGTATCTTTCACTTACTGGATGATTTCTGGGTGCCAGGTACTTCATTAAACATTTTATATGATATGCCTCATCTAACATTCAAAGAACATTATTGGTTAGGTCATTATTATCCCATTGTACAGAAGAGGACACTGAGGTCCAGAGAGGAGAAGGGATTTTCCCATGTTAACACAGCTAGAAGTTGCAGAACTTAACTTTACCTGACTCCAAACCCCGTGCACACGGCCACCACACAATATCCCCTCGGTGGGACACAGAGCACAGGAGACCTGCCCTCCCGCATCCTCTTCCTGTGATTACCTGGCGAGCAACAGATTGATGCCTGCTGCTAGGAGGGAGGAAGAAAGAGCATCAGGTGGGCAGAAAAGAGGCTTCAAATCTAGTCCATGGCTTTAGCACCCACTAAAATCCAGGACTATAATGAGCTTAAGGGTGAAGAAAGACAACAGTGGAGAGCACACTGGTGAGGAGATGGATGGGTGGGTCTACAGACTGTTCCAGTGTCTTCTCCAGGTGAAGGGTGGCACCAGGTGCTGGAAGAATACCTGGGTCGTGTGACCTGGGGCAAACCATTTCCTGTCTACTAGAGAGGGTGAACAGGATAACAATCAAGCACGTGGCCTCTGAAGCCAGACAACCCAGGATGAAACCCCAGCTCTGCCTCTTACCAGATGTGCGACTTCATACAGTATTTAGCATACTGGGCGTTAGCTTCCTCTTCTGTAAAAAAGGCATAATAACACCTGTCTCATAGGATCATTATGAAAACTAAATGAGTTAATACACAGAATGCCCTCAGAACAGTACCTAACATATAGTAAGAACTATATGCATTTTTGCTAAATGTTTAAAAATTATATAAACTAGAGGTTATAGTACCCGACTGTTGAATTAAGATGCTTTGGCTGCAAAGTAACAGAATATCTGATCCTGAGTGGTTTCAACAGAAAGCCTTTATTAGTATTACTTTCTCATTAGTATAATGAGAATCCTCCAAATGGAGACGGTTCCAGGCTCAGGGATGTCCCAGGAACTCAGGATCTTCTTATCCCTCACCCTCCCTTTGACCATTTTCCACAAATCATTCCCCATCCTGTCCTAAGATGGCTGCCACAGTTCCAAACATCACATCCCATTACCACAAAGCCAAATATCACATCCAGATGTCACAAAGCTACCCCTAGAAACAGAAAGTAAGGAATAGGGAATCTCTTTTGCACCTATTGCTGTCTTATGAAAGAGAAACTACTTCCTAGAAGCCTCTCTGAAGACTTCCTTTTTCTGTCATTAGCCAGAACAGGGCCATGTGATCACCTGCAGCCCCTGTAGAAGGCTAGCAAAGCAATATCCTGCATTTCTGTCACGATATAGAGCTGGGCTCCACAGCAAAGAAGATGGGAGGAAGAAGAGTAGTTGAATAGGCAATCAACATGCCTTGCAAGATAGTCTTGAGAAGGAAATGTGGGGAAAAGTGCAGGAATGTTGTGAAAGAGTTAACTACTTCCACTGCACCTATGTAAGACATTGTTCTCAGAAATAATCATATCAATAGCAGTGCTTCACCCTGTGGGTTAGAGGTAGAGTCTATAGAAATGCAGGATGCCCTGTGTCTACTAAAATACAAAAAAATTAGCTGAGCGTGGTGGCAGGCACCTGTAATCCTAGTTACTTGGGAGGCAGAGGCAGGAGAATTGCTTGAACCTGGGAGGTGGAGGTTGCAGTGAGCTGAGATCGCACCATTGCACTCCAGCCTGGGTGACAGAGCAAGACTCCATCTCAAAAAATAAAAATAAAAAATAAATAGAAATGCAAGATGCCGATAATTCTAGGTTGTCCTGTTCTTTCCCCATGGATATGGCAGCCAAGGGACAAATAAAAGGAAACCGACTGCCCTGACACTAAAACTGACATTGTATGGCCTCATAATAACCCAGGCCTGGAAAACAATAGTTCACCAACTTCCCCTCTCATTTTGGTGGATTATAAATAAAGCCTGGAGGGAAAGTAATGAAATTAGTTTCAGAACAGTGACAGAATTCCTCTGAAAGCAGAAAATCTTTATTTAGAAAATACCTTGTGGGCCATTCTGTAGTGAAAAGTCAGTCCTCTGGCCATAGTCTAGATCTGAGCTCAGCAAACATTTTCTCTAAAGGGCCACATAATAAATACTGTAGAATTTTCAGGTAATAAGGCCCCTGTCACAACTACTCTACTCTAGGTAGTGTAGGCAATGACAATGTGTCAACAAATGAGTGTGGCTGCATTCCAATAAAACTTTTATTTTTTTAAATTTTTTATTTTTTACTTTTGAGATGGAGTCTCGCTCTGTCACCCCAGGCTGGAGTGCAGTGGCATGATCTCGGCTCACTGCAACCTCCGCCTCCTGGGTTCAAGCGTTCTCCTGCCTCAACCTCCCGAGTAGCTGGGACTACAGGCACACTCCCTGCCCACTTTCCGCCGTTTGTCACCCCGCTTCCCAACTGCCCCCTGATTTTTGTATTTTTAGTAGAGATGGGGTTTCACCATGTTGGTCAGGCTGGTCTCAAACTCCTGACCTTGTGATCCGCCTGCCTCGGCCTCCCAAAGTGCTGGGATTACAGGCATGAGCCACCATGCCCGGCCATAAAACTTTATTTATAGAAACAGGTAGAGGGTCACATTTGGCCCACAGACAGCAGTTTGCCAACCCTGGTTCTACATGGCAAGTTACGTAAGACAACAACCTAAGCCAGGGGACTCAAGCTCTACTGCCCATGGGGCTGGAGAGGTAAAGAAGTAAAGCAGGCTGGGTGGGGACTGTGACATGTGGAGAATATATGACTCATGGAAACAAGGCAGTTGCAAAAACCAATGTAATCAGACCCTCCAGTATTTTAGGAAAACCAGAAATGCAAATATGAGGGCATATTCTCATTTTTAAATATTGGCACCGATTCAAAATTTTAAACCTGGTGCAGACCTAACTGAAGAAAAAACATGTGGGGGCCAGCACAGTTTGGGGGCAGCCAGTGTGTGGCCTCTGGCCTAGATCACCCTTCCTGAGCAATGTGCTGTGACAACCAAGTACACATGACACATTTGAGTGGCATGATCCAGGAAACTTAAGCCAACGCCAGTCTGACCTATTGCTAATGGAATGCATAACTGCCGCCGTCCTGCCCAGTGGCCGGGCATATGGGAGGCCATTCACATGCACGACTGCAATGAGCTGCACGTGCACTGCCACTCCAAGTCTGGACTGTAATTCTCTCCCTGCCTCACTAGTCCTCTGCTTTCTATAAGCAGTGTTGGCATAATCAGTGCCCTGGGACATCAGATGCTACGTAATATGCAGCGTGTGGACCCTCCTGACATACTTCAGAGAAGGAGTGAGATCATATGAAAGGGACTTAACAAGCCATGAAACCACACAGACATCAACTGGATTAGTTTCTGG